AGAAAAGAAAAGAAGAAGATCTGTGAAACTAAGTGAAATATAAGTATATTTTATTCACATTTCACATTTCATCTCCATTTTTTATTTTTCTTTTCAAATCCTTCCTCAAATTCCTCAACTAAATACAGGAGAAAATATTTGTGGCCGTTTTTAATTTTTTGGTGGCCCTTTAAGGGTAAAAATGAGAAAATATTTACCTTGTTTGATTTACACTGTTTTTCTCATAATTGAGTCTTTTGTTTTTTAGTTTTTAATAAATTTTTATTAATATTTATCTAATTTTTATTTTTATTGTTTAGATCCAACTAATGTAGATACACTTAAAACATGTAATATTTGTGAATTGTTTTTTTAAAAAAATCATCAAATATAAAATAATACTAAAATTGAGTACATTTTCATATTTTGTTGTATTCTTAATTAATTTTTTGGTATAAATTTTATACTTTTTAAATATTTCAAAATTAAAAAAAATAATTTAAATATTTTTAAAAAATCACTAAAATATAAAAATACAAATTTAAAACTCAAAATTATTTTTTAAAAATTCCAAATCAAACAGAGTGATTGAAACTCACTTGCCGTTTGGTAACTTGGCTAGTTGCCATTTGGCATTGATTTTTTTAGTTGACTTTTTTGAGTTGAGACTTTTTGAACTTGAGACTAAAAAATTCGTTTGGTTTCACTTTTTTTGACTTTTGTAAGAGAAAAAGTGAAATAATTATGATTTGAATGTGACATTTTATCTTATTGATTTATTTAGTCTATTTTGTCTTTTGTTTTTTTTTTAGCCCAACTAAGTTAGCCACACGAAAGCTAAAAAAACACACAAAAAACAAAATAAGCTAAATAAGGTTATAGGACAAAGGGCCAATTTGAGAACATTTTGGCTTTTAACTATATTTTGAGTCACATCACTTTTTTATTTTTTTATATGTTTTGTGGCCCTTTAAGGCTAAAAATGAGAAAATATTTACCTTGTTTGATTTACACTGTTTTTCTCATAATTGAGTCTTTTGTTTTTTAGTTTTTAATAAATTTTTATTAATATTTATCTAATTTTTATTTTTATTGTTTAGATCCAACTAATGTAGATACACTTAAAACATGTAATATTTGTGAATTGTTTTTTTAAAAAAATCATCAAATATAAAATAATACTAAAATTGAGTACATTTTCATATTTTGTTGTATTCTTAATTAATTTTTTGGTATAAATTTTGTACTTTTTAAATATTTCAAAATTAAAAAAAATAATTTAAATATTTTTAAAAAATCACTAAAATATAAAAATACGAATTTAAAATTCAAAATTATTTTTAAAAAATTCCAAATCAAACAGAGTGATTGAAACTCACTTGCCGCTTGGTAACTTGGTTAGTTGCCATTTGGCATTGATTTTTTTAGTTGACTTTTTTGAATTGAGACTTTTTTAACTTGAGACTAAAAAATTCGTTTGGTTTCGCTTTTTTTGACTTTTGTAAGAGAAAAAGTGAAATAATTATGATTTGAATGTGACATTTTATCTTATTGATTTATTTAGTCTATTTTGTCTTTTGTTTTTTTTTAGCCCAACTAAGTTAGCCACACGAAAGCTAAAAAAACACACAAAAAACAAAATAAGCCAAATAAGGTTATAGGACAAAGGGCCAATTTGAGAACATTTGGGTTTTTAACTATATTTTAAGTCACATCACTTTTTTATTTTTTTATACGTTTTAAAAATAAAAACAAAAAAAGTTCCAAAAGTCAATTTTTAATCAACTTTCTAATGTCACATCTAAATTATAATTAATTTATTTTTTTTCTTACAACCATCACCTCCAGACAAAAAAAAGCCAAAAATTTTTTCTCAATGGAATTAATTTAGCTTGGCTAAATTAATAATAATAATAAAAAATTCTTCAATAGGGAGCAAGTGTAATTTTTAAAATTTTTTTGTTCTTGTTTTTTAAGACGTGATGACCAAGGCAGTATCGGCCAGGACACGGAGCGCGTAGCGATTGCGCATACACGTGGCCCAATGGCATGCAACGATCGCCTTAACGAAAATTAATTCAGTAATAATTTTTAAAAATAATTACATTTTTATAAAAGAAATTAATTTATTAAAATTTATAAATTTGATCACTAATCGGTAAATGTGTATTTTTTTTTAAAATTTAAAATTACATAGTATTGTTATTTCTTTTGTAAATTTTAAATCACGTTTTTACCTCTTTTTGTCCTCTCATTTCAGTTCTCTCGTACAACTCACATGTAATTAAGGATGCAAATCATACAATTTTCTTAACTAACAATATAATATGTTATAATTAAAAATCATAAAGATCATAACTAGGATATATATTATATATACTCCTAGTGTATGTCCGTGCCTAAAGGCATGGTGAAAATAATATTAGGATTAAAATATAATTGAATATAAAATTATTGGATTAAAATGTAATTTATTCAATTTGTTGTAAAAAAATTGAGGTCAAAATATAAGTACTTTGGTTTGAATTTTCAAATCAATTTTATAATTAGATTTTTTAAAAGAGTTTGTAAAATTTGAAATTTTGTTTGATTGTATATTTTAAAAATAATTTTTATAAATTTGAAATTCAAAATTTATTTGGTTTTGGTGTTTCAAAAAATAATTTTTAAATTTAAACATAAATTAAACCAAACCATTAAAAACCTACAACAAACCCACATATTAACCCCATATATAGTGTATAATACATACATATATATATATATATTTTGAGTGGGGAGCAGACGCGAGGAGCAAAAAATGAAATATTGAGAGAGGGAGAAAAAAAAGGTGTGTGAACAAAAGAAATGGAGGGAAATAAAAAGGAAAGAGGAAGGAAATGTTGAGGAAAACGTTTGTGAGTATTGGATATTGAGAGTGAACCGTTTGAGGCATTTAAATGTTTTAGTAGAAAAACATTTTCAAAATCCCTTCTACTAAAATAAATATATAAATAGAAAAATATAAATTATTATTATTAATTTTTATATTAATAATAAAAATATAAATTATTATTATATTGTTTTCTTGGTTCTTTCTCCTTCTAAATTTACTCTTTTTCCAACTACACATTTGTTTTCAATTTTCTCTATAAACCCACCTGTCCTTCCCTTCTTCTCACTGTTGTAGATAGAAGCTAAGGTCAGTTTTCATTTCCTTTGTGATCAATTCTCTCTCTCTCTCTCTCTCTCTCTCTCTCTCTCTGTGATAATAAACTAACCCTAACGCTACCTTCTATGTATGTTTAACCAAAGAAGAACATATAGAAATTTCGAAGTAGTGATATGATTTATCTAAAATTTGATGGTCTCCATTTATGAGTATTTTTATGTGATTGCCAACTTCCAACTCCTTATGGGCTACAAACTTTTTGTTTTGTTTATGGATATTTTATCTAAAATTTGAATGAATTTCTTTTCTTTTCTTTTTTTTATTTATCTTATTTTACGAATAATCCATCTCAACCTTCCGTGAGACTGGGTAAAACCTTTCTATCACCTATTAGTTTCATATGTCGGTCAAAGGTACGAAGGCAACTATCTCATTTTTGGTCTATAAATTTTGGTTTGTGTTTCTGTAAAAATTTGGTCTACAAGAGATTATGCTCTTTTACAGGGATTGTCTAATTTATTTTTTATTTTTGGGATTTGACTATATTTTTCATGATGCCAAAGTATTGGTGTTTGCCCATTAGTTTATCTCCAAAGTAGAAAGATGTTGATGTGCGTTTATTTATTGTATTAATTCATCATCTTTTGTGATTACATTAAAAATTATTTAGTAGTGGGTGCGTTTGCCATTGCAGACCTAAAATTTTGACTAGTTTGATGAATGAGGAAGCTATTTGAAAATTGTTAGTTACTGAGTGTTAAAACCATGACAAAGTTTCAATTCTGATTTGTAGGCTATATATAATGATAATACTAGAAGTGCATAAGAGTGGATGCGGAGAGAGTTGTGTGTAGTGGATGGCAGCTCTTAATTTAGTAATTTACTGTTTGGCCTTGATAGTAACTGCTAGGTAAGATAAATATTTGCAGAAAATATAATTTTGTGGATTTTTTGGGTACAAAAATTGTATGACAAAGAGTTCATGCCAAATGAGTTGTGTAATTTATATAAAAGTATAGATTAAAATTTAAGAAATTACCTATCTCCCTATGGACTTTATGTTATTTGCTTGAGTGGAGGTTTTGGTTTTAATTCATAATTTTTTTAATAATTTTTAAAGAAAAATTGATGGACTGAAGTACACATTGGAATTGAGCCTAGGTTTATCTCTTATTTCATAGGAGTTTTTACTTTTTTCTATTTCTTCCCCTTATGCTAAGTTTTTTAACTTCCTTTTCATTTTCCTTGGCTTCAATTTGTGAATACATGTGTTTAATGAGTTCAACAATGGAGGTTCATGTCCGGCATATGCTTTTCATTCAAGCTTATATTTTAACATTTGATAATTTTCTAAGCTCGGCTCGAATTTATGTTCCATAATCCTATAAATTGTATTGATTGAAACTTGGCGCGAAAGATAAACAAATAAGGCTGAACATAGTTTTGAATCTTGTTAAGTTTTCAAACTACACTTAAGCATTACTCTATTCTGCACAACTCAGGTTATTTTCAACATAGGTAAGAAGAAGAACAATGCAATGAAATTCTTGCTCCTGTTGAAAATCTCTCTTTTGTGATCACATTTTTGCAGAAGCTAATAGTTACGTGGTCCATTTATAGAGAACCACTGAGGGGTTAAGTAGGTTTAAAAGTAGTTAAATTCTTCTCTATTTGGTTTGGTAATTATAAAAGTAGGTTTATATAGCCAATGTTCTTCTCTATTTGGTTTGGTTTGGTTATTTTCAGTTGAATTCTCTAATGTATTTTTGGATACGAGAATATTTTACTTTAAAAAATAGATTTATATTAAATGTTAAGTGAATTTATTTTTGTGTTTTTCATATTTTTGGTTGTGAATTGTCGTAGGCATAGGTCATTCACTAGCAAGTAACAAGAAACTATCTTATCTCATGGGGAAGTGTCAAATCTTGGTGATTGTCATTCTACTTTTTCTTGTTCCAACACAGTCCTTCGACTTCTTCAAACTTGCATTGCAGTGGCCTATCTCAGTTTGTGGACAATACTGTAAAAACTTGCCCAATCCCATGAATTTAACCATTCATGGTCTGTGGCCACAAATTTATAGCAGCCCATGGACTCCACTTTCATGTCCTTTGCAAAATGGCTATACTACTATCGGAGTTAGTTTCTCAATTTTGTTCTTTTTAATTTGTGACTTGGTAATATAGTCGTTTGCATCTTAATTAATTGCGTTTATAATATTTTGTAGGACCAATCCCTCGTAAAAAGGCTTAAGGTGAGTTGGCCAGATGTGATTTGGGGAAGAGATGAACGTTTTTGGGCATGCGAATGGAACAAGCATGGAGGATGTTCTGAACAATTGTATAACCAAATCACATACTTCAATTTGAGCGTTAATCTCAAGGATCAATTTGATATTTTTGGTCAACTCCAATGTGCAGGAATCACACCGGGTAATTATTACAACTTGAGACATATCAATGGGGCCATCGAATGCTATACCAAGAAACAACCTGAACTTATTTGCAACGTGCCTCCAGGGACACAACCTAATTGGAACTGCCTTTGGGGAACACAGAGTTGCACTCCAGGTATAAGGAGTTGCATTCTGGGAAAAACTAATTGGAATTGGAATTGCTTTCGGGGATGTAGTCCTCAACAACAACTTCTTGAAGTTCGTCTATGCTTTGACAAGAATGGTGTTGTGATTGATTGTCCTGGACGACGCAAAGGATTACCTCCTTCCATAGGAGTGAGCTTTCCTATATAAGAGTCGAGTAATGCCACGTACCATGACTAGGTATATATATTACGTTAAATCTATCATCTCAGTTGGCATAATGCCATTGATTGAACGGATCTTATCACTTACATCTACAATCTTTGTTTTATTATTTATTTCGTCTCTATGCATGTTGGTTGTTATATATTATTTTGGTTGCTTTCATAAATGTTGGACTATAATCTCCATCATGAGGGTTCTTTAGTAAGTTTGTTGTTATGTCTTTCTTTCATATTATAAATCTCTTTATTAGGTTGGTTTTTGGGATTGGTAAATGTACTATGTATGATTATCTAGATAAAATTCTTGTAATATTCACTACAAGAAAAAGCACAAATGGCGACTAAAATTAAGAATTTCGTCACTGAAAGTTGACCAAATGGCGACTAAACTGGATGTAGTCGCCAAAAATGAAGCCTTTTGCCGACTAAAATGAATTAGTCGCCGAATACCAAAAGAGAAACAAGAATATGAATTGTATTGAATGAAATCAATCACAAGTAATACAGTGATGACAATATTTATATATATATCTAGCACTCTTTACTTAACCTAACCATAACTCTATAACTTGACTATAATTGTCTAACTAAACCATAATTAATCTCTAACAAACTAACAGCTCATTTGCAACTTGCTTTGTAATTCACACATGCTTGAAATAAGAGTGAGAGAGAGAGACAGAGAGATGTTGCAGTTGTTGTAGCTTTAGCTGCTCTATTTGTTCTGAGCTACAGCCTTGGCTGTGGCTGCTGGCTATTGAGTTGTGGCCTTGACTGTTGGACTGTGGCCTTGGTTGCAGCTACTGGCTGTGTTGTGGCCTTGACTGTGGCCTTAGCTTTGGCTGTTGGCTGTTGTGCTGTGGCCTTGGCTGCAGCTAGCTACTCTGCCTTATCATGAACAACTGTTGTCTATTCATAAATTTATATCCGAATATTTGACTTTTGTTCAGAAATTTATATGCGAACACCATTAATGATGTGTACTGAGAGTTTGTATAGTGTATAAATAGAATTACCTAAGATATGTATGAGTGACAAGACTCATTTATTGTGTTGACCATTCAATATATAAATAAGATGAAAAATATGTAAAAAAGTTGGAATTTCAAACTAATTTTCTATATCCCAAAATATTTTCTTCCGTATTTCTATATTTTTAATACATTTTAATGAATGTTTTGCCCAAGACTAATTTTTTTTTTTTGATCAACAACAAAGGACCCTTTATTGATGATGGAAAACCTTACAAGAAGGAAGAAAACATCAGCAAAAGGGAGGAATGATGCAAGCCAAACACATACCATGACCTTGTTGGTGAGGAGCCAACAGAGACAACAAAACTAATATAGCCACCACCACCAGCAGATACAATAGAGGCCTACAGCAGATACACAGCAAAACTAACACAATAGAGGCTTGCAGCAGATACACAGCAGCAGATACAAAGTATCAGACCAGCCACACAGCAGCAAAAAATAGGTCCAGAATCCACTCAACAGATTTTCACCCAACAGACCCAGTAGATTTTCACCCATCAGTCCCACAAACAACCCTCAGATTATAACAGACCATACACCCCAAAACCAGTCCAGAATTCACCTCAGCAGGCTAAGAATTGATCCAAACCATGGCACTTCTCAAATGCATTCCTTAATCTGAGCCAAATTCACAGCAGCAAAGGAAACAGGTGTAGAAAACACCCACTAGATTTTCACCCAACAGACCTAGAATTCACCTCAGCAGGCTAAAAATTGATCAAATCCATGGCACTCCTCAAATGCATTCCTTAATCTGAGCCAAATTGATGATTATATCCGAGGCAGAGTACATGAACCTTTTTACAGAAGCTTTAACCCATAAAGCAAATCTAATCTTTATCAGCTCACCTAACTCAAAAGCACAAGGTAGCACTCCATTAAACAAACAATCATTCCTGAACTTCTAAATGGACCAAAGTATAATACATGGCAAGGCTCTCCACAATCTTCTAACTAACTTTTTATAATTCCACCATATCCACCAATGAAATAATCCATCAATATTCCTTGGCACCACCCACGGACACCCCCACCAAAGCATTACATCAGACCACACCTGCCATGAAAATGGACAATGTAATAATACATGAACAACAGATTCATTTTCCACTTTGCAAAAAGCACATAACACAGAAGCCTCACTGTTCAGAACACCTATATGTTTTAGAAAAACCCATGTTTTCACTCTATTCCTCCAGGCCAACCACCCAAAAAATTGAGCTTTGGGGGGAATGTCACTATTCCACACAAACTTACAAATTTGGAGAGCCGGGCCCAAGAGGGAGTCACTATACCGATATATATCTGAGACCTTAAACTTGTCACCAACAGATCCATTCCAAACAGGGCAGTCTACCTCATTCAGACATAGAGAATGGGTCACCAAAAGCACTGCAGCCAACTTGTTAGCCTCTGCCTTTTCCCAATCATATAATGGCCTTCGGAAACAAAAGTTCCACTCCCCAGAGCTGGATTTCCTCTCAAAAAAATAAGATAAGGTGCCATTCGTTGACAAGCAAAATAATCTCGGAAATTCATCTTTAAGACAGCTACTACCAACCCACTTATCATACCAAAACTTAATTCTACTGCTATTGCCCGCCTTTATCTGATATTTCTCCACAAAGAACTCCACAAGAGGTTGATTCAGACTAGCAACTACAAGAACATCACCCCAAATTCTCGAAAATCTAGCAGATGAATTTATAGGTGGGAGCCAGTGAAACTTCTCAATCATATACTTGCTGCACAACATTTTTCTCCAAAGAGCATTTACTTCACTTCCAAATTTCCACCACCATTTAAGAAGTAGGCTTGCATTGACATCCTTTAATCTTCTAATTCCCAACCCACCTTGATTCAGACTTTTAGAAACTTCAGTCTATTTCACCAAATGAACCTTCCTCTTCAAATCATTCCCACCCCAAAGAAAAGAAGCTTCAAGCCTTTTGATCTCTCTAACCACTCCACAAGGTATTCTGAACAAAGATAGATAATAAATAGGAAGGTTAGACAAAACAGACTTAATCAAAGTTAATCTACCTGCAAAGGAAAGAAGCCTTCTTTTCCACCGGAAGATTAGATAAAACGGACTTAATCAACGTTAACCTACCTGCAAAAGAGAGAAACCTTCTCTTCCACCCAGTCAACCTAGACTTTATTATATCAAGAACTGGCTTCCAAGTAGATTTCCTCCCTGGATTAGCTCCTAAAGGCAAACCCAAAAATTTAAGTGGCAGTCCATTTACCTTACAATTCAAGATATCAACATAAGACACCAATATTTCCTCTTCCACTCTAACTCCACGTACCACACTCTTATGGAAATTTATCCTCATGCCAGAAAGGATTTCAAAGCATCATAGTATTCGCTTTGTGAACACAATTTTGCTCCAAATCTGCCTCACAAAAAATTATGAAATCATCCGCAAATTGGAGATGTGAAATCACTACCTCATTCACTCCAACTTTTACCCCCTTGATAATACCTTTCTCATAAGCTCTGTTCATTAAAATATTCAACCCCTCAGCCACTATATTGAAAAGGAAAGGAGATAGGGAGTCACCTTGTCTGAGGCCTCGCTGTGGAGAAAATTCCTCTGTAGGTGAGCCATTCACTAGAACCGACAACCTTGTTGTATTGATACACTCCTTCATCCATGAAACCCACTTAGAACCAAAACCAAAATTATGAAGCATAGATACCAAGAATTCCCAATTTACAGAATCATACGCTTTCTCAAAATCAAGTTTAATAATCACACCTTTCCTTCTTGATTTTTTCCATCCATCTACAATTTCATTAGCAATTAACACTCCATCCAAGACACTTCTTCCCCCTCATAAATCAGATTGTGTTTCACCAATAATTAAGGGAAGAACTTTCTTGAGTCTAAGAGCCAAAACCTTAGAAAGAATCTTGTACAAACTACCCACCAAGCTAATGGGTCTAAAATCTGACAACCCGATAGGATTATCAATCTTAGGAATAAGAGTGATAAAGGAGCTGTTAATCCCATAAGGAAATTTGTTGCTAGCATGGAAATCTCTCATAAACAACAAGACCTCCTGATGAACTACCTTCTAACATTTCTGGAAAAAAAGAAGGTTGAACCCATCTAGGCCTAGAGCCTTATCACCATTACAATCTATAACTGCTGCCCTTACTTCAGCTTCAGAGAAAGCAGCTTCAAGATCATGATAAGCAGAGCTATCTTGAATTGATTTAAAAACACCATCTAGAGCTGGTCTACTGGTCCAACTTTCTGAATACAACCTCTTAAAGTGTTGTAACACCTCAAACCTTAACTTAGCTGGCTCCTCAATTATCTCACCTTCAACTGTGATGGAATTAATTGAGTTTCTACTCCTTCTGTTGCTGGCCATAATATGAAAGAACTTCGTATTCTTATCCCCATTAATGGTCCAGTTAACTCTAGATTTCTGTTGCCACAGCCACTCTACCATCTTGCTAAGTTTCCAAACTTCACCCCTCACTTGTCTTCTTCTAGCCTTCTCAGCCTCAACCAGAGCTCTATTTTCAGCCAAGGTATCAAGCTCTACCAACTCCTCCTCAGCCTTCTTGAGTTTTGTTGCTAAGTTTCCAAAAACTTCCAGGTTCCATTTTTTCTGCTCCACTTTCAGCATTTTTAGTTTCTGGAACAGCACATGACCTGCTTTCCCAATGATCCTGGATTCATACCACACCTTTGCTACAAAAGAGGAAAAACTTGGATGGCTAGACCACGCATTAATAAACCTAAAAGGCTTAGGTCCCCAGTCCCTTTCATCATCCACCAGCAATATAGGGCAATGATCAGAAAACAACCTAGGAAGACCCCACTCTTTAAAGTTAAACTTCAGAAGCCATTCCGCATTAAGCAAAAAACGATCTATTCTACTCCATTTTTCTCCATCTTGTGCATTTGACCATGTGAACTTCCTGCCTAACAAAGGCAAATCATTCAACTCATAGCTCTCAATAAAAGAGTTTAAGTCCCTCATCCCCTTATCTCTTCTGGAGCAACCCACCCTCTCACCAATATTTCTAATCTCATTTAAGTCTCCCCCCAAACACCATGGATTTGGAAATTCAGATTTTAGTTTGATTAAG